TTAAGCACTTAAGAGAGTCTAAACGTGGTTTTGAATGTGCAAATATAATATTTGCTTGCTCTCCAAGTTTCGAACGTGTGGAATATTCTGGTAAATTATTCACCTTTCTGCACATCAAAATTCATCCTCTCGAAATTAAATTTACTTATTTATAATTATTTGCAATGAAAGTCGTATAAAATTAAAAAATTGAAGGTTAATGAAAATTAGTTGTCTGTAATGTAATTTGTATTATTTCATAGATACGTATATGAATTCATATTGAATTTTCAGAATTGAATAAAAAACGATCGATTATGTGAACAGAGAAGCGAATACGATCTACGAAAAGATTAATTATTAGCTTATAGTACGATATTTGTGAAGAAGTTGATTTTGAAATTCGACACAATTGCTAAAAATTACAGACGAATCTTAATAAATTTTCTTCTATTCGTCATGTACCAAGTTCTTCATAAATATCGTATTGCAAGCTTTGCACTATAAATTAATCCTTGTGTAGATCATGCTCACTTTCCTGCACTCAAATTGATCGATTTTTATTCAATTCTTAAATTCAATACAAATTTACATGCTTGTTTATGAAATAATACAAATTAATTTTAATGATAAAATAACATTTCGAAAAAAGCAGGACAAAAATAAAACGGATTCAGGACGATGTCACTAAAACTGCAAATTCATCAAAATAAAGCTCAAATGTTTCTTAATGTTCCTGATAAAAAATCTTCTTTTTTACGGTATGTTTATACACTTAAAAAGCATTGTTGATTTACTCCATTTTATCAGATTTACATGCTGCATACCCCCATAATACCTAATTGATAGTAAAGTTCTGTAAGTACAATTATTATGCTGATTTAGTTTAGTTTAGTTTATTCGTTCATATTTTGAAGTTTATTTCGGAATCGTCGGAGATCGCATCTGTTCAAACAGAATCCGCAAAACAGCTAATTCACGTTATAATAAATTCGATTTCTCCAGCAAATCCTTGCCAACATTTGATCATTCAGTTTGAATCGCCATAACTGATTAATATAATTTAACTTTCGTTTTCTTAATCGCTTAACTTTCATTTTCGTATCTTACTTCTTTAGCCTAATACTTTACCCTAACGGAATGTAGTATCTATTTTGTATAACTGGTTTTCATGTTTAGTATGTATATTAGAAGATTCTTCTCATACATAAATGAAACTGGATTTANAACAATCGTTTTATTGATATTTATCATTTACATGGGATTGTAAGCTACAACACTTACTTATTCAAGTATAAGATATATCCTTTTTCTACTTATCATTTACGACTTATCTCTTCCTTGTGAGCCGCTTTCCGACAGCGTATTCATATTCAGATTCTGATTCGCTCATTTTTCAATATATATTTTACTAAAATATAATGTGAAATAAAATATAATAATAATAATAATAATAATAATAATAATAATAATAATAGTAATAATAGTAATATTCTGAAAATTAGAAATCATACCAATTATATAAATATCCATTATTTTTGTATTTTTGTAATTTTCTTGCCAAGACAACGTTCTAAATTGTGTTTTTTTTTACATTAAAAAAAATTGATTTTTTTGGCCGGCCTTTTTAGAAAAAAACTGTGCATTAAGGGGTTAAAGCCCGTAGACAAAACTAACGTATCTAGAAGGTACGCCATAAAAAATATGCTGAAAAAAATGTATAAATACAAAGATAAATGATCCTAAGCATTCCCAGTTATATTTTATCAGAAAGGTCCGCCGTTCGTTTTAAGCACTTAAGAGAGTCTAAACGTGGTTTTGAATGTGCAAATATAATATTTGCTTGCTCTCCAAGTTTCGAACGTGTGGAATATTCTGGTAAATTATTCACCTTTCTGCACATCAAAATTCATCCTCTCGAAATTAAATTTACTTATTTATAATTATTTGCAATGAAAGTCGTATAAAATTAAAAAATTGAAGGTTAATGAAAATTAGTTGTCTGTAATGTAATTTGTATTATTTCATAGATACGTATATGAATTCATATTGAATTTTCAGAATTGAATAAAAAACGATCGATTATGTGAACAGAGAAGCGAATACGATCTACGAAAAGATTAATTATTAGCTTATAGTACGATATTTGTGAAGAAGTTGATTTTGAAATTCGACACAATTGCTAAAAATTACAGACGAATCTTAATAAATTTTCTTCTATTCGTCATGTACCAAGTTCTTCATAAATATCGTATTGCAAGCTTTGCACTATAAATTAATCCTTGTGTAGATCATGCTCACTTTCCTGCACTCAAATTGATCGATTTTTATTCAATTCTTAAATTCAATACAAATTTACATGCTTGTTTATGAAATAATACAAATTAATTTTAATGATAAAATAACATTTCGAAAAAAGCAGGACAAAAATAAAACGGATTCAGGACGATGTCACTAAAACTGCAAATTCATCAAAATAAAGCTCAAATGTTTCTTAATGTTCCTGATAAAAAATCTTCTTTTTTACGGTATGTTTATACACTTAAAAAGCATTGTTGATTTACTCCATTTTATCAGATTTACATGCTGCATACCCCCATAATACCTAATTGATAGTAAAGTTCTGTAAGTACAATTATTATGCTGATTTAGTTTAGTTTAGTTTATTCGTTCATATTTTGAAGTTTATTTCGGAATCGTCGGAGATCGCATCTGTTCAAACAGAATCCGCAAAACAGCTAATTCACGTTATAATAAATTCGATTTCTCCAGCAAATCCTTGCCAACATTTGATCATTCAGTTTGAATCGCCATAACTGATTAATATAATTTAACTTTCGTTTTCTTAATCGCTTAACTTTCATTTTCGTATCTTACTTCTTTAGCCTAATACTTTACCCTAACGGAATGTAGTATCTATTTTGTATAACTGGTTTTCATGTTTAGTATGTATATTAGAAGATTCTTCTCATACATAAATGAAACTGGATTTAGTGTTTAAAATCCGCTCAGTTTAGAGTTCGAAATTAATTTCCACAGATTTATTTTGTGAAAGTAAGAAGTAATTACAGTAAATTCTCTACAATTGTCCTTCAGCTTTTAGAAAAAAAAATGGACACTTTGGGAAGAGAAGATCCTCGCGGCTCGAATAATCGTATAATAATAATAATCGTATCTCCTCCTCCGAAATTATCCATTTTTGTTTATAAGCTGAGCGAGAGACTTTATTGTATTTTAAATTGGAGAGGATTTATTGTATTTGATTGCAAAAATAAATCATANATGCTGATTTAGTTTAGTTTAGTTTATTCGTTCATATTTTGAAGTTTATTTCGGAATCGTCGGAGATCGCATCTGTTCAAACAGAATCCGCAAAACAGCTAATTCACGTTATAATAAATTCGATTTCTCCAGCAAATCCTTGCCAACATTTGATCATTCAGTTTGAATCGCCATAACTGATTAATATAATTTAACTTTCGTTTTCTTAATCGCTTAACTTTCATTTTCGTATCTTACTTCTTTAGCCTAATACTTTACCCTAACGGAATGTAGTATCTATTTTGTATAACTGGTTTTCATGTTTAGTATGTATATTAGAAGATTCTTCTCATACATAAATGAAACTGGATTTAGTGTTTAAAATCCGCTCAGTTTAGAGTTCGAAATTAATTTCCACAGATTTATTTTGTGAAAGTAAGAAGTAATTACAGTAAATTCTCTACAATTGTCCTTCAGCTTTTAGAAAAAAAAATGGACACTTTGGGAAGAGAAGATCCTCGCGGCTCGAATAATCGTATAATAATAATAATCGTATCTCCTCCTCCGAAATTATCCATTTTTGTTTATAAGCTGAGCGAGAGACTTTATTGTATTTTAAATTGGAGAGGATTTATTGTATTTGATTGCAAAAAAAAATAATATTGATCCATTTGAAATAATAGCAATTTCAAAGAATGAATTAGTTCGTCTTTTTTTTAGGTCTCAAATATGATAATTCAATTTTCATTTCAATAAGATTTACAATAATTTATGATTTCATTAAACAATGTTCGGTAAGAATTTAGAAACTGGCAATAATAAGTGACATCGAACATTATATACATGTAACAGTTCTGTATTTTCTAAATGAACCATCTGATTTAAAGTATAAATAAATAAATAAATGAACAGATAAATATTTCAATAATCTTTGAGAAATAATATCAGGCAAACAGATTTCATATTATATGAGTTTTACAGGAATTTGATTTAAGTAAAACTCTTTTTTCAAATAGTTTATTCTCTTTGTCTGGGTACACCGAATATTATCATGAAAGCAACAATCGTTCATCATCGAACAATTATTTAACATAGTTAGATCTTGCAGAAATGTCAATTAGGATCTCAATATAAACAAGACTCGGAGCAGTTAGTTAGATCATAATCACATTAATTTAATATTTTCACTTATTCGTTATAAATTTTCTTATGTTTTTCACAGAGACCATAACTGTTACAACCAAAACGAGAAAAAATCGAAGCGTAACCATTAAATTATGCTTAAAATAATTTTGGTTACCAACAACCATTATAAATGATCGAAACACTCTGTAGTTACAAATAAATATTATATGTAGATGACGAAAATTGTTTTTTCGTTGCAGTTAACAATCATCGATGACGAGAGTGTCAATTTGTTACAGATAACCATTACAATTGACGAAAATAATTTTTGGTTATAAATAATCATTCTGGGTGGTCAGAATTATACATAATACTGGTTACGAATAACCACTTATCGACCATCAGAGTTTTATTTTTGTTCTCTGAGTTTTCTCATTTATATCTAATAAAAGACATCCGGAACAAAAAGTCATTGTTCACCGATGTACTGAAAATGAATTTATTTCGTACTTGAAAGCATCATTTCTCGTGAATGCTATTCAAACTTCGTGGAAAAAAATCGGACGCATTAAAAGCGAATCTGATTCGCTTGGACTTACTTCCATCGCTAATGTTTGCTCAAAAACTTGACTTACCACATAGCCTGCACGGACACCGGCTTGAAAATGTGCTGTCGACTGCAAACGCTGACGCTGAAGCCTCTGTAACAAACGAAAAAAATGGGGAAATAATGACAAGTTAGGTCTGTTGAAAGCTACGACGGCCACGTGGTTCTCGCCTTATATAGGGTGGCGAACCGATCGTATCGACGAGCTATTTTATTGCTAGCCGAAACGACCCAACTTCCCCGTTGCGGGTACTTACAAGTAGCTCGATGCTATTTTCGATCACGCTTAGCTTGTTACATTTTCACTCGGCCTGTAAAGCAATGTTCCATCGAATCTGGCAGGTATCGAACACTTCTCGGGAACAAAATGTTCTCCCGTTTCGATTCTCTCGTTCAGAACAGAGATTAGTGTAATAGTTATGTCGTTCGTCGATTTTAGTTTGACGGGTTTGACGAAGCCCCGCGAGTGTCGCTATATCGGCGTCATCAAGCTAGTACATTTAATTCCTAAAAAAGTGCAAACAAACAATTTCATTATTCAACAAGGTAATAAATTGTTCCTTTCGTAGATTATGTTCACCTTGTTGCAAGTAATATTTATATTTTTGCAAATGTTCATACGAATAAATATTCATATTTTTGCAAGTCGAGTTAACCCTTTTGAAGGTCTTATTCACCTTCTGTGAATGAAATTCACTTATTAAAATTCGTATTAAATTCGAAAATTGAGCGACATTTCATGAACAATTGACCAGTTGAAAGCAGAAATGGTCGCAAACGTTAATTTGTGGATAATGAATAGACTGCGGATCTTTGTGCAAAATAAAAACTTTTCAACACAATTGTAAGAAACGGGAATGTAATAATAATGTATTTCTTCTTTTAATAATTTTAATAAACTGAAGAGAAGATGGCGACTTTTTTGTAATGTGATGTTCTTAAATGAAACAAAATACCTTCTAGAAGTAACGTTGTTATTTTAACAGAAAAACAAAATTATCCTTAACATAAAAATCAGCAATAAATATCTTAATCTAATAAAATTATCTAAATATCTTAAAAAATATTGAACCTACAAAAAAATGTTCCAAACAAAAGTTGTGTATTTTTTTACGTACAATATGATTCCGAAATAAAAATATAGGTTTGTGATGAAAAACAGCAAGGTGACCTTTGAAAAAACCTTGAAAACGTCCACGCATTAAAAAATTAATAGAGCCATTTGACTCCCCACTCGCAATGCTAAAGTTAGTTTTTTTTTTATATCACGTGTCTACGAGATTTTTAACAATCTCAAATTTTAATTTCAGATAATAAAGACTGTATAATGCACATTTCGTACGACACAAATTACATTAATAATTTATTTATACGAAAATCTTCGGTAAGAATTTCTTCCAACTCTTCACAAGACATACTACTTAAACTCATCAGAACTGGTGTAGAATCAATTGGAAAATATTTACTATGTTTGAACATGTGAAAAATGTAATGCTTCTCTCTAAATCATACATGTTGGCAGGTAAACATAATGAAAACTTATATATAAATCATGAAGTTATATATAAAACTGTTTTTTTTTATATACATTTTTGTATCCAGAGACATAGAAATTGGGACGTCTATCCTTTGTCGGCACGTTCGGAGCAACAACGAAATTCGTGAAGCGTTCACCACTACTGGCTTTTGTCATTTATTAGAACGGCATTTTACAACTTGCATATTTTCATGGAAGAGAATCAAAGCGACCAAGTTTCAATAGAATCTTATTTTCATCGTCTCTAGTGAACCTCTAGCGAATAAAATCAAAATGATGACCGCATGATGATGGATAACCATGTGCGATTACAACGCACGAGCACGAGGCCTATAATAATTATAGAATGAAACCTGTAATTTGAACAAGCGTTATTACAACCAAGATTAAATCTTGCACGCTTACAATTAGCTTGCATCAATTAGCGTTCCATATTTGTAAGTATTTCATCTCATTAAAATTGCACGGAATAGTACCGCCAAAGAACGAATATGGAAACGAACTGAAATATATAAATAGATAAATAAACAAATATTTCAGCGTTCAGTATTTCAGCTGTGTTCTACGAGTAAAAATAAGACAAGTAAAAATATATGCCGATTTGCATTACGTAAAAATAATTTGTTATATAAATTAACATATATAAATTATTAATTCTCGAACTGGGTATATTTAATGAAGCCCTTTTACATGAAGTTGGATTAATGAGAACTATTATTTAAAATAATACTATGTTCATGTTTGGAGAGTTTTAACGTGACTCCTTGAAAAATATATTTTTGTAAATATTACTCATTGTTATCCTTCATATGAATACCCTTCGAAATATCACTAACCAGTGGAATATCATTAACGTCAGTGATACGTATAGCTCTTGCCTTGTCTTGTTGTACCTGAGAGTAGTACGTCACATCACTTAAAATAGTTTCAAAACACACGGTTTTAATATCTATTAAAACTTGCACATTTCTTACGTAATGCAATACATGAAGAATACATTTGTGTTGAAATTCATATAAATCTATAAACGTGGCCACAACCGGTGCATCTACTATAACGTCATTTATGCGAAGTTGGTCAATTCTAGAGCAGTTTGTTGTTTAACCAGTCAGCTGTGGCGTTTCCTTTTCAAAGCGCGCACCTCGCGAGAATCAAGCGACGACGAGTATACTCGTCAAACACACAGAGTAAGTATTGCTGTTGAAATATTGGCTCGAAAATACGGTTCTATTTGATAAAATTAACAATTTTATTACTAATATTTACTTATTCACTCAACATCCTGTCTCTTATACACATCTAGATGTGTATAAGAGACAGATATTAAATATATTATTATATATAATATACATTATATTATATATTATTATATATTATATAATATATTATATATTATTATTATATTATATATTATATAATATATTATATATTATTATTATATTATATATTATATAATATATTATATATTATTATTATATTATATATTATATAATATATTATATATTATTATTATATTATATATTATATAATATATTATATATTATTATTATATTATATATTATATAATATATTATATATTATTATTATATTATATATTATATAATATATTATATATTATTATTATATTATATATTATATAATATATTATATATTATTATTATATTATATATTATATAATATATTATATATTATTATTATATTATATATTATATAATATATTATATATTATTATTATATTATATATTATATAATATATTATATATTATTATTATATTATATATTATATAATATATTATATATTATTATTATATTATATATTATATAATATATTATATATTATTATTATATTATATATTATATAATATATTATATATTATTATTATATTATATATTATATAATATATTATATATTATTATTATATTATATATTATATAATATATTATATATTATTATTATATTATATATTATATAATATATTATATATTATTATTATATTATATATTATATAATATATTATATATTATTATTATATTATATATTATATAATATATTATATATTATTATTATATTATATATTATATAATATATTATATATTATTATTATATTATATATTATATAATATATTATATATTATTATTATATTATATATTATATAATATATTATATATTATTATTATATTATATATTATATAATATATTATATATTATTATTATATTATATATTATATAATATATTATATATTATTATTATATTATATATTATATAATATATTATATATTATTATTATATTATATATTATATAATATATTATATATTATTATTATATTATATATTATATAATATATTATATATTATTATTATATTATATATTATATAATATATTATATATTATTATTATATTATATATTATATAATATATTATATATTATTATTATATTATATATTATATAATATATTATATATTATTATTATATTATATATTATATAATATATTATATATTATTATTATATTATATATTATATAATATATTATATATTATTATTATATTATATATTATATAATATATTATATATTATTATTATATTATATATTATATAATATATTATATATTATTATTATATTATATATTATATAATATATTATATATTATTATTATATTATATATTATATAATATATTATATATTATTATTATATTATATATTATATAATATATTATATATTATTATTATATTATATATTATATAATATATTATATATTATTATTATATTATATATTATATAATATATTATATATTATTATTATATTATATATTATATAATATATTATATATTATTATTATATTATATATTATATAATATATTATATATTATTATTATATTATATATTATATAATATATTATATATTATTATTATATTATATATTATATAATATATTATATATTATTATTATATTATATATTATATAATATATTATATATTATTATTATATTATATATTATATAATATATTATATATTATTATTATATTATATATTATATAATATATTATATATTATTATTATATTATATATTATATAATATATTATATATTATTATTATATTATATATTATATAATATATTATATATTATTATTATATTATATATTATATAATATATTATATATTATTATTATATTATATATTATATAATATATTATATATTATTATTATATTATATATTATATAATATATTATATATTATTATTATATTATATATTATATAATATATTATATATTATTATTATATTATATATTATATAATATATTATATATTATTATTATATTATATATTATATAATATATTATATATTATTATTATATTATATATTATATAATATATTATATATTATTATTATATTATATATTATATAATATATTATATATTATTATTATATTATATATTATATAATATATTATATATTATTATTATATTATATATTATATAATATATTATATATTATTATTATATTATATATTATATAATATATTATATATTATTATTATATTATATAT